CACATTAATTAGAGATATTGGCATGGTCCACTTAATAAGGTGAGGGCAATCCTTCCCTAACAAGCCGGTTTTGTTAGATTAAGTTATGCCCAATATCCTTTGATTTCTGTAAAAAAATCATGATACAAAACTTTTGGTCAAAAAAGCAGATTGGGTGCTTAATTTAGCGGAGGACATGCCGGGTTAAGGTGACCTTTGTGCTTAGATTTAAAGAGCATGTGCAACTAAAGACTCTCATTAACCATTGATGTAAAAGGAGTAGTAGTAAATTGGTGCTTAAAAAAAATGAAATTCTGCAACAAATAAAAAACGACATTACACAAGAAAGAAGATAAAACCGATATATTTTTCATATGTTTGTCAAAAGACTACATGGATACATTTTTTGAGAGACTTCAATGTTCCAAAATGATGTGGATCTTTCCTCAAATTTCTGGAAATTTCTTGAGAAAATCATAAAAAACAGCTTCAAATTTAAATAATTGATATTTTCATAAATATCGATAAAGTATATCCTTGATTCTACAAAAGTATTCACCCAAATCATGCATTTATGTTATGCGTGTACATGAGCTAAGGAGAAGACTAGGAGATTTATATATAATGACTCCAAAAACTTGATGATCATTTTGGTTCTAATTGAAAATAATTATTTGTGATGCATTTGTCAAACTTTTTCTCAAAACACAAAGAAAATTCTCTATGATACTCCATTAACACCTTTAATTTTCTTTTATGTTTTAGTTCCTTTTTGCATTCTTTACTAGACTTCCATATGCACCTGGTGATTGACGTCACCAACTTGCCTAGCTTCATCTGAGGAGGATGAGAATCTGCATTGACAATATCTTCCAAAAACATACTTGATAACATTATCACTAAAATTAATCCTTTTACATAATTTTTGCCCATCTCCTTCTTTCTTCTTTCTCTTTCTTCTTTCCATTTGTGCAAATTATTATCAAAAGACAAACATCTTTATATATTCCTCAATCTCATCGCACTTTCATTTATTATTCGTTCATTGTTTTGGTTTTTATACAAACAAGAAAAAGATGTTAACATTACCATACAACGAAATGTAAACTTTGATTAAAATGAAAGGTTGCTCTACTTTGTTCCAGTTTTTATGAATTAATTAAGTAAACTTGGTGAAACTTTTGCACATTAACGAGTCAAGTTGAGCCATTAATTAAAGAATATATCCTATATGAGTGGCGAGTGATTATTGAGGTATTTAATAAGTTGAAAATATATTTTAAATTATATTTTTGAAGTTCAATGATCGTGAATGTTAAAATAATATGACTTCAGTTTGAGGAAAGATCATTTGTTAAAAGAATAGATTATTGAACTTACTATATCTTACCACATTAATATCAATAATTCGAATAATGATGTGGTTTTTAAAAATGAAAGAAGAAAATAAAAAGAAAAAGAGAAAACAATATTAACGTAGTTCAATAATGTGCTTATATTTATAGATTATAAAAATTGAGAGAATTACAAGTTACAATGACAGTATCATGTAAATTACATAAATAATCTAGAGATTATCGTAAAATTAGATAAATATAACCAAAGACAAAATAATAATGAACGTGACAATATATGAAATATTAACTTTTCCTAATAGTTATTTGTTTGAAAGCGATGAAGCGAAAACATAGAGTCACAATCGACAGAATACTTGCAGCCCCATTTGAATGGTGGTTAGTGATGAAGAAGTAGATTAGAATTTTGAATTAAACATTATACAGTTATTTATTTAGATATATACTCGCTTCAATATTTAGTTTACAATTAGGATTATTTAAAATTAAGTTATGTTTATCTTTTTTTCTATCAATATTTCAGTGATTGTAATTCTTAAACCGAGTGGATGATTGTTAATAAATACTTAATTAGTTTCAATAATTTCTCCTACTAAGTTCTGTGGCTTTCTTTCTTTTATGTTTTTTTTTTTTTTATCTAAATTCTCTCAAAAACAAGATATTTAAAAAATAAAATTGCGTGATTGATGAATACTCGTATGACTTTACCGAATTTGTGCACGTATACTAGTAAAAGTTAATGCAGAATTAAAATAAATAAACACAAAAAATTGTTAAGCTTGGAGGTTTCAATATAGAGCAAAAAGTATGGACAAGGTGTTTTAGAATGCAAAATGAAAACTAGGATTTCTTGAGCCCGAAAGGCCTATTTGTATAGCCTTCAATATAATAAACACAAAGAAATAAATATTCTGGAATTATTCCTAGTATCCAGCTATCCTTGAAGTCTTTAGTTGGCTCTTAAATTATCAAACCTAATTTTCATATAATTATGATAATGTACTTTAAAATTTCAACACTCATAATATGCGGTCATGTAATCAACGAAATGTCATCTTTCTAACACGTAAACACTCATAGCACAGAACATTCAATCATAACAAAGCATATATCGTGAGAGAAAATTCTAGATTAAATTCACATTAAAAAGTTTCTGAATTAGAATTTTCTTGGGTTTCACTCCGACGGATTTCCCATTTAACAAATATATTTAAACTCGTGATTCTAATTCTGTTATAGTGTTTTCCTTTCACAAAAAATTTGAATTCAAAAATTTTTCACTAATGGTTCTCTCACAAAATTTCCGTCAATAAATTAGAATTACTGATTTGACCGCGTAAACTAAGAGGGTTAAGGTTATTGCTCGAGACTTTTCCTGGCACGCCATTAGTTGCTTGGACGAGGTTCCATTAATCAGCGACATCTGCTATCGAAGCCGAGCTGCTTGCACTCAAGAGAGCCATGGATTTAGTAGCAAGTCAAACAATGGAAGAAGATTAAGATTGAAGGAGATTGAAAGATCTTGCTTAATGTTTTGGCGTAGGGAGATATTTGTTCATATAGGCGTTTGTCTGCAATCTTTTTAGGTGTCACTCGGTTAATTTCTATTTTTCATTGTGTTTCCTTTTCTTCTTTATAGGTTCCTAGAGAATGTAATAGAACGGCTCAAAGCTTATGTGGTTGGGATAGTCACCTCTATTGTGGTGTCTATTTTTTATTGACAAGAGTTTTGTTAAAGAATTAGATGCCTAATTCTATGAAACCGGGAGCACTAAAAACGTGGAAAACTAAATCAAGCAAAATTGATACACAAAATTTATGTAGGTTCACTTTAATGTGAAATTATGTCCTTTTCAAGTGTTGTAATTTTTCACTATGATTGAGAAGTTATAAGAGAAATAACGCACACCTTACAACTCTTTTTTTTTTTTTTTTTTGCTCTACCTCTCTAATAAATCTCAAAATGACGCCTCTTTTTATAATAAAAATTAGGACAATCGAATTTTAAAAGTGTGAAATCTTCAAACTACCTTTAATAAAATTTTGCAACTCTATTAATCATTTGGGATTTAGGTTACTACATAAAGGGACAACACATACAATCTAGAGTTGATTCATTAAACAAAATTATTGTCGAATTATTATTATGATGGCCTATTCCAATGTATGATAAATCTATTAATGTCTCTCATATTGTCTAAAACATCTTCTTTATAAGTTTACGAGAATACAAACAATCATGAATCTATCAAATTTCATCAAATAATTTTTGTACATATTTATCATCTTCTCCAAAGAAAACATTATAAATTTGTAGAATCAAATTCATGAACAAAGTTACCCCTTGTATTTGTTTGTTCAACTCGTTCTTGAACAAAAACTGCTTTTCAGAAATATCCATCACTTTAAGCGTTAATGCAAAACGAAATTAAGTGTTTTTAATTACAAAACAAAGGCACTAATAAAGGGATTTTGATATTGTTAAGTTGTGTAGCCTAATTATTATCTTGACGACTGTGACCAGATATTTGTTATACGGCCAGTATCATAAGTCGATTTTAGTCGAATCTTAGATCGAGGTACTTGTTGGCAGTCAAGCATACACTCTAAGATAAGTCAAATCCTAGATCGAGGTACTTGTTGGCAGTCAAGCATACACTCTAGTATCTTAAGAGAATGAGAGATTACACTCCAGTATCTTCAGAGAAAATCTGGCCTAATTTGCAGGGCTCGACGTTTGTGATTTATATAAGCTTTTCTGATTGAAAAAGGGCTCAATTTAGAACTAATGAAAGAAATGTAAAATTTCAAATCCAAACTGACGAATTCAATCGGCAAAACTTGAAAGGGAAACTGGAAAGACCCGGTGAAGTTTTTTTTTTTTTTTTTTTTAAGGATGCAAATTAATTCTACTTTAAAATCTATGCACCTTATACTTGTCTACCATTTTATGTAAAACCCACGGCTTATAATCCGGGTATCATGAATAACGTAAAAAAAAGTGTGGTATTAATATTAAATAATAAACTTTACATTCAAAATTTGATTTTAAATATAAAAGATTATCAACATATTCCTACAATGTCACGTATTATTACCTGATGACATGTTAATTTCCAGTAGGGAAGTTAAGAGAAGGGTTTTTTTATTATTATTTGGTTAGCTATTTGCTTTTCAGGGAACCAATATCACGTTGAAAAATAATATTTTATCCCGATAGTGGATCCCACTAAAATGAGTCTCACCTACCCACTTAGCGAAATCCACCTGTGAGTAGCGGGCTTTTACTCTCATTAGAATGAATAGAGGTGCTCTTTAAAATTTAGGAGGCTAGGTTTTACACAGGTCTAAGAGAATTTTTGTAAGGGAGAAAGAGAAAAATATGTCAATACTTGAGATGAATTAAAATTAATAGGCCAATAATTTACATAAATAAATAAATAGACTAAATTACTATTTTTGTCTATAACTTATCTGGTTATAAACCATAACTTAACAAGTTATTGTCTATAATTGTCCATAACTTATCTAGCTATGAACTATAACTTAAAAAGTTTGTCCATAATTTATCTGGTTATGAACCATAACTTGACAAGTTATAGTCTATTAATTTATATAACTAAAAATTGACCTATATACTTTCTTAAACTTTTTATATTGGCTTATTTTCTACTATTTTCCCTTTTTGTAATTGATCCTCACATTTAACAAAAAGGTTACATATCCCAGCATAATTCTGTTCTCCAATCCAGGCTTTTATATGAAAAGCTAAATGCTACTTCTATAACGTAACGTTTTTCTCTCTTCTCGTCTTTTGAGCAAAGGTTCTACTTTCTATTAGATTGATAATTTACATTTTTAAACATACAGATAACTCATTCACCTAAGGTCAAATTTGTCGTTCAGCGTTTAAAAGCCTGCACGAGAGGAGCCTCATAAAGAAACAAATCCCACCTCAGAAAGAAGGAGAAAATCCCATCATATTCCCAACCTCTTAGCGCCACATTCTGAGCAGAACTTCGATGTTTCTCTCAAATAAGGGGCCCCACATTGATCACAGAACTTTGCCGGACTGGACGGCTGAAATTCAGTAACTTGTTAGTGCTAGGAAAAAGGGGAAGGTAACACCAATAAAAGCCACATCAACCCACAAACAAAACTTTATCCGAAGAAAATATTTGTATAGAATCAATTAGATCTTTGGACTTGCTTTTAGATTTAAAGTTGGTGCTTAAGTCTATCACTTATAGTGAAGTTAACGCCCAAAAAAAAACAAAAACAGAGAGAGAGAACGAATCGAAACGAAACAAATAAAGGACAAGCAACAAACCTTCTAGTCTACGTGAAAATTCAGTGGATGTGCGAGTCTTACACTGTAAAGTACGGGTCTATTAAAAAGTTTCTTAGACGGTTTTGTTATGATTGGTTATTTCTGTTAGCTGGTTGTGTAGGGGCATAAATGATGGAATTAGAGGGAAGTGGGGACTGGAAAGATTTAATAGGGAAATAACACATTTCTGAGTTGAGGAGAGGGGCAGGCTCTCGAAACTTTGCCATTTTGCATAGGCTTGTAATTGATTCTTTCCCTCATTTGTACAGGATTTGATGTAACACAAACTAATTTCATGTAGTCTCCAACAAGGCATTGTTTATTTACTTATTAACATGTCGGATTGCAATATTGAACTAATATCAAAGCACGATTGTTACAGCAGCAAATCTAGAGATTGTTTATCCACTAATATATATGTGTGTGCGCGTGCGCGCGTGTCTAGAGATTGTTTACAAAAATCTGCTTTCTTCAAAGTTCAGCTTGCATAATGCAAGCAAAGTAACGTAGCTCCCACTACGTTATTAAAATGAAACAAGTGCTCAAATTGTTAACGTTAAAAGGAAAAGCAAGTCAACTAAGATAACCTTACCAGTACATGTAAACGTCCCCCAACGTAGCCTCCTGTAAGGGGTTGTAAGCAAGCTATGTGTTGTGACATGGTCGGCGAATGATGAGCATGACCAAGTTCAGGCAGGTGTGATGGTGGAGCGCATTGATGGCTTTGAGAGTACTGGGCAGCATGTTGACTTTGGTGCATTGGTTGATGATGATTCTGGTGAACAGGATGAAACTGCGGTTGGTGCAACAGTGGTTGCACATGATGTTTGCAAGGAGTATGCTGCTGAGTTTGTGTCTGCCAAAGAAACAAAGGGCAAATATTAACCAACTCCATGGAATAATAACAATGCTAATAATTTCTAACTCTATAATTTTTCTTAAACAAGGAGCTCAAACATAGTGGCATAAGAAAGACGTGATAAGACTTTTCTATGAGAACTAAAAAACCCTTCCAAGAATGCCAATACCCATAGCATAATGTTGTCTACATCTTCAACTACCAGTCTCTTATTAAAGAACACATATATTTTCACCGTAAATAAGCATGTGTCAAAAAAAAATGGTATTATAAAAACCAGAGTGAACTAATAAGTTCTGAATAATTTTATTGATGAATACGTTTCTCTTTAAATAGATTACAATAGGAATAATAATCCCAAAAAATAAGGAACTGATAAGGAACTGATACTCTAATCCTAAGTTTAAAATCCTAACAGAAAATAAGATTGATGTTATCCAAAGTTTGACTTAATCCAATAAGATTTCGTCCACACTCCCCCTCAAGCTTGGCTGTAGATGTTGATGAGGCCAAACTTGCTTACAAGTATCTCAAGAGTTTGTTCGGATAGACCTTTTGTGAGTAGATCAGCTAGTTGATGAGATGTAGGCACGTATTCAATTCTGATAACGTCTCCATCAAGTTTTTCTTTAATAAAGTGTCGATCCACTTCCACATGTTTAGTCCTATCATAATGAACAGGATTATGAGCTATACTGATAGTTGACTGATTATCAGAGTAAAGCCGCATAGGTTCTTCAAAGTCAATCTTCAACTCTTTCATCACTCTTCTTATCCAAACAAGTTCACAAACTCCATGAGCCATAGCCCTATACTCAGCTTCTGCACTGCTTCTAGCAACAACTGACTGTTTTTTGCTGCGCCAAGTCACTAGATTCCCCCACAATAAGGTACAATATCCAGATGTTGATTTTCGATCATTGATTGATCCAGTCCAATCTGCATCAATGAATGCTTTTACTCTTCGATCATCAGTCTTTGCAAAAAATAAGCCTTTTCCAGGTGTCTGCTTCAAGTATCTCAAGATTCTATACACTGAATTAAGATGTCCTTGACACGGTGCGTGCATATACTGACTTACTAAACTCACTGCAAAGGCAATATCTGGTCTCGTATGTGAGAGGTAGATGAGCTTTTCAACAAGACGTTGATAATTTCCCTTTCGACTGGTCCTCCTTCAAGCATTTTTGCTTTATTACCAAGTTCAATCGGCGTTTTACTAGGCTTGTATCCCAGCATGCCGGTTTCTTCCAAAAGATCTAAGGTGTACTTCCTTTGAGAGACAAAAATACCCTTTTTACTCCCTGCAAATTCCATCCCTAGAAAATATCTCAGGGCTCCAAGGTCTTTAACTTCGAATTCCTTTGCCATTATTTTCTTGATTCTCTCCACCTCTTCACTATCATTTCCAGTGATAATAATATCATCAACATATACTATAAAAATAGTAATTTTCTCTTTTTCAGAATGTTTAACGAATAGTGTATGATTGGCTTGTCCCTGAATGTAGCCAAACTTCCTGATTACCTTCGAGAATCTGTCGAACCAAGCTCGTGGAGACTGTTTTAAACCATAGAGAGACTTGTTGAGTTTACAGACAGTTTGTCTCCCTAATTCCTCTTCAAATCCCAGAGGTTGACACATATAAATCTCCTCTTCAAGTTCACCATTTAGGAATGCATTTTTAATATCAAGTTGATGTAAGGGCCAATCAGAATTAGCTGCCAATGAGAGAAGAATTCGGACAGTATTGAGTTTGGCAACAGGGGCAAAGGTTTCAGTGTAGTCGATTCCATAGGTTTGAGTAAAACCTTTGGCCACTAGTCACGCCTTGTGTCCTTATACTTAACTGTGAATACCCATTTGCACCCTACTATGCTTTTCCCTTGGGGCAATTCTACCAAGCTCCATGTATTATTCTGTTTAAGGGCACGTAGTTCTTCAAGAACAGCAGCTTTCCACTCAGGAACATCCAACGCCTCTTTAATAGACCTGGGAATCATTATACTAGACAGTCTTGAGGTAAAAGCACGGAATGAAGGTGATAGATTTGAATAGGAGATGAATTTGGAAAAGGATGTTGAGTACAAGATCTAACACCCTTTCTAACTGCTATTGGCTTGTCTAGATTAAGAATAGGACTAGATGTACCTGACTCATTTTGTAGGTGAGAATCTACCATCGGTTCGTCTTCTTGACTGTGAGTAGGATTCATGATTTTTTTATTTCCTTGAGAGTTTTTCCTTCTAGAGTAGACCTGTAACTCTTGTTGTTTAGGCTCGGGCAGTGTTGCTTCTCCCCCTGTTTTTAGTATCGGTCCATAATCAGGTGGATTTGGCTCATTTGGAGGGCTGGTTTGAATTGACTCAGGTGTAAAAACAGTCGTGATGTCCGAATTAACATCAAGTAACGGTAGGTCAAGAATATCCCAGGAACAACAAGCTTCATCCTGTTTCTCCCTCTGAAGCGAAGTTGGAGAGAAGTAAGGGATATCTTCAAAGAATGTGACATCACAGGAAACATATGTTTTTCTAGTTTGTGGATAGTAACAACGATAACCTTTCTGAGTTGGAGAGTAGCCAATGAAGACAGTTTTGAGAGCTTGGGGATCAAGTTTACTTCTATTGTGCTCATGAATATGAACAAATGCTGTACAGCCAAAGGTTTTTAATGGAAGAGCATTGGATTTAGAAACTTGCGGATAGGTTTTGGAAAGAACAGACAAAGGGGGTTTAAAGTTGATAGGACGACTTGGTAAGTGGTTCATGAGATAGGTAGCAGTTAGGATAGCGTCCCCCCATAAGTATTTTGGAACATTCATTGTAAACATGAGAGCACGGGCTACTTCCAACAGATGACGATTTTTCCTTTCGGATACTCCATTTTGTTGTGGAGTATCAACACATGAACTTTGGTGTATAATCCCATTTTCCAACAAATAATCACCTAGGATGGAATTGAAGTATTCTTTTCCATTGTTGGTTCTAAGAGTTCGGACATTGGTTTGAAACTGGGTTTGAACCATCTTGTGAAAGAATTTGAATTTTGATTGGTTTCAGATTTGTCATGAAGAAGATGACCCATGTAACACGTGTGTGATCATCAATAAATGTAAGAAACCATTTTTTACGGTGAGATGTAGTGATTTTTGAAGGTCCCCATATGTCACTATGGATCAAAGAGAACGGTGTGGACGGTGTGTATGGTTTTGGAGAAAATGAAATGCGAGTGTGTTTGGCTAGTTGACAAATTTCACAATCAAGAGAAACAATATTTTTATTATTAAATAAGGATGGAAACAAACGTTTAAGATATGAAAAACTGGGATGGCCAAGTCTATGATGCCATAACATTATTTTCCTAGTACTAGAAACAGACATAGAAGCAACGCTAGACACAAAAGTTTGTCGACTCTTCGATTGTTCACTTTCAAAGTAATAAAGACCATCATGAATCCTAGCAGTGCCAATCATCTTCCCCGATAGTAGGTCCTGAAATTGACATGACAAAGGCAAGAATTTAGCAACACAATGATTATCACGTGTAATTTTACTAACAGAGATGAGGTTGCATTTTAAGGCATGGACATAGAAGACAGATTCAAGGATAAGGTTCCGAGATAATCTAATATTACCGATTCCAGCAACTGGAGTCAAAGACCCATCAGCAATTGTAACAGTGGTGTGATTAGAACAAGGAACATAAGAGCAAAAAAGATTAGAACCACCTGTCATATGATTGGAGGCCCCTGAATCAATGATCCAAGGATCTTTAGGGTGAATAGAAGATTTTAAAGCTGAGTATAGTTTACCAGATTGAGTCACCGAACATAACCCAGTAGTGGAACTGGAAGAGGGATTGACTGATTGAGAAGTATTGACGGATGGCTGATTGAGAAGCCTACGGAGTTGTTCAATCTGTTCCTTGCTGAATGGAATAAACGCGCCTGAGTTGCCTGATTTGTCTTGGTCGGATTGAGTTTGGTATGCACGTCCATCATTTTTCTTCTAAGGCTGCCAATTTGCTGGTTTTCCATGAATCTCCCAACACTTGTCCCGAGTATGGCCAGGACAATTACAGTGATCACACCATGGTCGCTTGCTTGGGCGCTGATCAGAATGATGTTGTCCTTGTGAGTGGGATTTATTTGACACTAAGGCAGACCCTTCTGGTGCAGATGGAGCAACTGGTATGTCATCTGTGAGCATTACCTTCCGATGGACTTCCTCACGACGAACTTCAGCAAAGGCAGCTTCTGTAGAGGGGAAAGGATCCCGTGCCACCACTCGGCCTCGTACCTCATCCAGATTTTGATTAAGGCCAGCAAGGAAATCAAACTCTCTTTCTTTTTCAAGATTACGCCTCTGCTTGATCTTCTTCAAAAAACAAATAGAGTTCTTGCCAAAGATCAGATAAATACTAAGTCACCGAATTTGAGCCCTGTTTCATCTCCTTCAGCTTCAAACGGATCTCGAAAATTTGAGAAGCATTCCCGAGATCAGAGTACATCCGGCGGGCTGCATCCCACACCTCCTTGGCCGTTTTGAACCAGAGATAGCGACGGCTGATTTTTGGGTCCATCAAATTGATAAGCCAAGCGAGAACAATAGAATTCTCCGCCAGTCATGTCTTGTACGATGGATCAGTTGGGCTGGGAGCAGGAAGTTCTCCAGTAAGATAGCCCAATTTGCCGCGGCCACAAATCACAATTTTCACGGATTGTGCCCACTGCAGATAATTTTTTCCATCTAATTTGTGGGCTATAATATGGAGGAGGTATCGCTCCCGGAAAGAGAAGCAATACGATTAGAGTTTCTTTCAGCCATGAATTGGCTAGATGTTGTTGATCCGGTATTATCACCGGAGGATATGGCTGTATCGTGTTCAGCCATGAGAGAGAAAAAAAATAGCCCTTTGGCTCTGATACCATATAAAAACCAGAGCGAACTAATAAGTTCTGAATTATTTTATTGATGAATACGTTTCTCTTTAAATAGATTACAATAGGAATAATAATCCCAAAAAATAAGGAACTGATAAGGAACTGATACTCTAATCCTAAGTTTAAAATCCTAACAGAAAATAAGGTTGATGTTATCCAAAGTTTGACTTAATCCAATAAGATTTGAATTTCGTCCACAGGTATCAATCATACTTCATACATGTTTGGCTCCATGTAAAAATTATATCACGTGTTTCAAAATATCAGGACTAGAAAACAAATCTTACTTCACTCACTGCACGGAATCCTTGAGTAGTGCCCAACACGGAAGAATTATCACTTGTAGGAAAACTCTGGAAAGTTTAGTTAGCAAGGATAAACCGTTAGAGAGCGTTCACAAAGGTAAAACAAATAAATTCCTTTATTTTGTTTTCAGTAATAGACCATGATTAGATATGTCCATCACTATGGATCTAGAAAATAAAATATTACTTAGTACTTCTTGCCAACTTAAGAACAATCTTAAAATACCAATTTACCTTAAATAAATTCCTTTATTTTGTTTCAGTAATTGACCATGATTAGATATGTCCATCACTATGGATCTAGAAAATAAAATATTACTTAATACTTACCAACGTAAGAAAAATCTTAAAATACCATAAATCTTGGAGATTTAAAAAATGACAACCCATTGTATACGGTAGAAACTATTTTTTTTTTTTATAAGAAATATGGCAGAAACTAATTTTGAGTACAATAAACAAAGAAATGTAAAAAGATAAAAAAGTGGATTTTAATTTGTTATGGTTGATAAATAAGTACTGTGTTAAAATAAGGCATGTAGCTTACAGGTAAACCAGGAATGTTAGATACAGAACTTGAAGCAACACGCCTATACTTGTGTCTTGGAGAATAGAACTTATAGTCTCGAGTAGACACAGCAACTTCATCCCGACCTGTCAATCGTTTAAACCTGCAAGTAGTTTATGAGAACAATAATAGCTTAGAAGGATGTATTAGGCCAGTGATTCACTGAACAATAATAGCTTAAGTTAAAACATCCAATCCTTACTCTCAATGTGAAAATAAACATCACAATGTAAACTGATACTGATCCGGTAATCTATGAGATTTGCACTATGAGGCAAATGGAATTGAGATTATTCTAGATTTAGGGTTATTTTTGTCATAAGGCATTGACTTTATTGAGATAATTCTAGATTTAAGGGTCATTAGCGATCAGACTTCAATTCTTTCTCATGCCATAAGTAATTTACAATATCTTGTAACTCATTATCCTACAACCAAAAGCCTCAAAACAAGAAAATTTTTAAATCTTAAAAGACACTAACATGCATATCAGACAGATTTTTGTACCTATCCATTCTTGACAATCCGTACAATGTAAATATTTTTATGCTTTCTAACTCACCACTCTGCATCGTCCATCGGCATGCTATTAGGTTTTTCAACAATATCTAACCCATTGACCACTACAAACCGAACACGCTTCTCTTCTTGAATAACTAGTTCTGGAAATCTTGTCCTTGTTTCAAGAGAAGTTGCCAATTCTCTTCTTCTGAACGTGCATGTTCCTAATAAAAAGATGTAGATAATAAATTGTATATGATATTTAATTTGATGCAAAGAAAATAATTCATAATACTAGATATATAGTTTCCATTACAAACATAAAAGGTGAGCAGGGCGGGGAATAAAATGAATTCACGGCGCAGAAATGGGATTAGACAATAAAGTAAGTAAATGGATTACCCTTTTTGGGAAATTTCTTAGCTAGCCTTCTATACAAACCACCAGCTGCTTCGAGGGCTACCCCAATTGTCTTGTCACGAATACCATTTAAGGAAGCAAGTCTAATATTTACATCATTAACTAAAGTTTCGTACATGTTTGCCATGTACATTAAGGGCAAAGCAAACCTTGGATCGCCTTCATACTGGACCTCTCTAGCCTTCCTCTTATTCAGTTTGTCTTGACTAGATTGACCGTTATAATCAGCCTCTGACTCAGCAACTTCAATCACATGATCACGGATAAAATGATCCACAATAATTTGCAGAAATCTTGCTCTGGCTGATTCAATAGGCGAGACATCTGTTTCGATGTTCATGCCAGATCAGTTAACCCACTCATGAGGCGGCCATAAAATCAAATCCAGAAAGCAACAGAAAATTACATTCAAAACAAAGTCCAAACACTTTAAGAAAATTAGATTTGACCTTCAATAGTCAACAAATCGAAGGCACCCCGCGAAGGCCCATTATTCTCAAGGCTGGAGCGCTCTTCATCAACTCCTACACTGTGAAGTGGTAAAGAATTCCTATACGACTCATGCATGCAGTCCTAAAAGAGCAAAGCTCATTCTTAAGAATTAATAAACAAGTCTCCTTCAACAATTTCGGCAGAACATAAGGAAATAATCAGGACAACATATCATTTGTTTATTAAGAAGAAGAGAAGGAGAAGGAGAAGAAGAAGAAGAAAGTGGATTGATTTAGTTCTTTTCGTCAGTGTAGTTGTTTATGTTATTTTTACAAACGTTAATGCATTTGATTCATAAACACTATCAACTGAGAAATTCTTCTGCAATTACGCAAATTTAAAAGCAGTTCCTCTTTTTCCTCTAAAATTCTCAAAGAAACCAAACGAAGACCAATTTCTTAACCAAAAAACAAAACCGAACATTGAGTGAAAACTCGGGGCATACACTAACAACGGCATTGGAGTCATCGTCGTTGTCGAGGCTATCCTCGGTGACGCCGTCGCGGTCAACGTCGCTGATGGATTCGATGTCCGCCGCCGGCGGATCGACGGTGTTGAGATCGTGCAAAGGGCTTCCGATGTACGAATTCGCCGCCGATCTCATACCAAAGTGCTGCAACGGAACCCTAGCCGCCATTCTTTCCCAAATTCGTTCCAAGACCGTCGAGTTCACACATCAAAACCAAACCGCCATGGCCGTCGAATTCGATTCTCTCGCCCTTATTCTCCCTCGTCCTCCTTCTTCGAGGAATGAGAATCCTCGCCTGTGAAGCAGAGGAAGACATTGAAACGAAGTTAAGATATATGAGAGTTTCAAAATAGGCGTTTTTATAGGTTTTTTTTAACGGCTATACTAGAGAGAGTCCAAGCCTTAAAACGTACCGGAGCTTTCGGGGACGAAAAGGAGTTGCCGAGCCTGACTCCGATCTCCACACCAGATTCCAAACCAAAGTAAGGCCTCTTTTCTCGGCAGGCTTTACTTTAATTTAAAGATCACATGTGAATGTGATGGTGTAGTGATCATGTAATACCATGCCCACAGTTTGCTATGGTGAGCCTTTGTACGCTACGCTCCACTTGTACAGATGGCAACAGGACGGGTTTGAGAAGTTTGGCCTCCCCGCATTCCTCCCTGTTATGGAGCATCTCGCCCTAGTGTGGACGTTTAGTTCATGAATTTAGAATTATAATTTAAAATTATTTTTAATTTACGTGTGTTTTTTATGAGAGAAAATATTGTAGTGAACTACGAACCATAATTCAAATCATGACAGGAATTCACTAACCAAACGCAATAAATCTGCTAAGAGAAAAAGAGAAATATTCTTTAAGATGTATGAGTCTGAATTTTTACTCATTACTTTTGACTAATATCAATTTTAATTAAATAATTATACTAATTAAAAGGGTAGTAATAAGTAGGGATTAAAAATTCAAATCGTGCACTATGATGATAGTGTTCAGTAATTTTCTCATTCTTCTTCTTCTGCTAACCCATTTACAGCAATCAAAACAAAAGGATTATGCTCTGCTAACCATGCCCTCACCATCTTGAGCGGTCTTTTATAGATCAGAAGATATTTTGAATGCTTTTAAATAATTTGGGGGCATTGTGAAAAAGAACCCATATTTTTGGGGCATGTATGAAAATAATTTATTTGTTAAAAACAATTTGTTACCACTTTAAATAAATATGAGGATTTTTTTCCTAGAAAACACGTTCGCTACTCTCTTTTGTTTTTCATTTTCAAGTTGTTAATTTTTTTATTTAAGATTTGAGGAAAATTTTTTGTTTTCTAAAAAAATTTTTAGAATAATTTGTATTATTGGTCTCTAAAACTTTGTATCATGTGATAACTTGGTTATGATTCTTTCGATTTTGTCAAAACGATCCCTCAAAACACATAAAACTTTGACAATTAAAGCCTTAACGACTAGCTCAGGTAAAATAGAGCAGTTTAGCAATTAAATCCTTTATTTTCAAAACTGGCCCTAAGCCTGCAGCCACGATTTTAGCGTCATTGACAAGCATTACTGTTCTACACCTAATGGAGGTTGGCATGGAATGTTCGCTAGACTGTGCCTGCAATCACGCTTTAGCACTTCTTTGCATATTGTATACATATGCCGAGGTCCACAATTAATCAAAACCAGGCCTTTCAAATGTTAAAGGTTGCAAAAGGCCAAAGATTCCTGTACAACGGAAATGCTTTTACTTGATTTACTCGCATTGAAAGTACTATAAATTTGAACAAGTAGTGGTTTGGAGTCAAACACTTGAACGTGCTCGTGCTCGTGCTCGTGTGTGTCGTGATGAGGACGAAACATATGCAAACATATCAACGACGCAGACAAGGAAACAAGGAAAACACTTTAACTGCATAAAGGGATACACTTCAAAGGCACCAATTCCAACAGGACAATAAGGAAGGGATACGACCAGTTCTGCGAATATATTCTGCTTGCTGCTCTGTTCTTGCGGCCTGCTGGTTTCTCTTCGCTTCTGCTGCTGCTCGTTTTTCTTCGGCCCTGTGCCTCGCAGCTGCGAGCTTATTCATAAGCTTGTCATGAGCTCGCCCCCTCATCCTTTCAACGTCTACCTGAAAACCGTGAGAAGTAGAATCAGATTAGCTCAAGCTTTAAAATTAGATAATCTTTTTATCATTTTTTTCACAATCCAGCCACCACGCAACAACATTAATAAAAATAAAAAAAATGGCCCTTTGAAAACATTTTATCATTTTCCCAACGGCCAAAACTATCTCATACTAGTCTAGCACAATCCTGAATATTAATATTTCTTTTTACCAAGAATTTCCATTCTGTTCTTTTTTTTTTTTTTCCTTTTCTTTTTTTGGTTTTATCCTTTGTAACGTATTGAAAAAGGAGAAATATTCGAAGATGTAGCCTTGCAATTTATTGGCCGTCCCGAAGGAAACAAGCTCGTTTTTGAGCTCCCTACTCACCATCTATTGAGTAGACTGCATACAAACTTGGAGCAAGAACAAATGGAGAATGCAGAAAATAAGCATTGAACAAAAGACTACACCACACAGGACAACAATATTGAAAAGAAAAAAAAAAAAAATATATAT